CCGGCCCCCAGCAAACACAAAAATCTGTGTGTAACTTTTTTTTTTTTTAATCTTCACCCGAGGATATTTTTCCGTTGCTTTTCAGAGAGAGTGGAAGGGGGAGAGAGAGAGAGAAACATCGACGTGAGAGACTCATTGATTGGCTGCCTCCCGCAGGTGCCCCGACCGGGGCAGGGGATTGAGGCTGCAACCCAGGTACATGCCTGTGACCAGGAATCGAACCCGGGGCCCTTTAGTCCACGGGCCAACACTCTAACCACGGAGCAACACCGGCCGGGGCTCATCCAACCAATTTTTCTGCCCATTGAGCTGGTATCAGAGGTATGAAAACTCTACAAGCGCCGATATGGATTTTCTTATTAATGCCTCTTCTTCTGTCATCAAAAAGGTGTTTTAAAAGCTTTCTCAGTAGCTCGTTTTATTTTCTCTAAAATCGCCTATCAGCAAGTGGCTAAAGCTGAAATCAATGTGCGGATTTTCTCTGCGAAGGGTACGGATTGGATTGCTGTCCATCGATATTTCGCCAGCTCCTGGGGTTTGGGGTGAGCCCAGAGGTTTCTCCGCCTGTCGGGCCTCGGAGCCAGGCGGGGAGGCCCAGGTTCGCCGAGGGGCCAGCGCAGGGCGGGTGTTTTAAAGGGTGACATTTACGAGGGACGCCTGGAGCGGCGGCTTCTCCCTCCACGCTCAGGATTCCCCGCACGTGCAATGCCGTCAGCCTCGCGGACGTTGCTAACCCAGCTCACGCTCCAGGACATTCTGCAGAGTCTCGCTGACCACAGACTGAACGTGAGGGGCCTTCTCTGCGGGGCGTGGTTCTGTGGCTTCTCACCCTTCCTCACAAAGACAGGAGGCAGGACGCTAACGTGGGTCACCCCGGCCATCGCGGGCTGTGGGAGGGAGGACAGACGCACTCCGCCGGGCATAGCGACATCGCGAGAGTCCCCTCGGGACAGGCGGGTGTCCCCCCTCCCACGGCGGGGTCACCGGGAGCAGCCGGCTGGTGCATTCACAGACCGTGGTTCTCTGTGGCTGGAATAGTGTCCCTGAGGCCGGAGGCCACCAGCCCCCCCAAGAGCAGGTTTTCATGATCAAACTGGAAAGGACAGGAAACTCGGGTGTTTCCAGGTGACAAAGCCCCGAGCTGGCAATTACAGCTCCACAGAGAAGTCAAGCACCACGGGGTCAGTATTTGCGCACCTGGGACACAAAACTGAAGTCGAATCTGTGATTACTCTCTCTCCTGACGTGGCCCGTGTGCGAAGGGGGGCAGAGTCCTTCCACGTCGAGCGGGAGCAGCTGGTCCCCGCGAGCCGTGAGCTCCCCCTGCGACCCCGAGACTAGGAAGCTCGCCCAGGGCCCGCGCTGGGCGAGGTGTCGGCCGAAGGGCCCTCTGTGCTCGCTCCACGCCGAGGCTGTGCCACAGGCGGCCGCGTCCCCATCAGCTCGGCGACGATGGACTCACCGGCCCTGTGTGATCTCACACTCATAAACTCGGCCGTCCGGCAAGGACGCCGAGGACGCTGAATATCATGAACCCGCCGAGTCCGCCCCAGGTGGAGGGAGACGGTGCAGACGAACTAGAGGTCAGGCTGGATCCCGTCCCATTGCGCGGACATTGCGAGGGCGCCGGGCGAGAGCCAGACACATCGCTGGTTCCTGCCGGGCGGTGGGCTTGGGCGCCTGTGGGGACAGGGGCTGGTTTTCACTAAAACGCTGCCCCGAGACTCCTCTTCGGGTGCTCGGGGTCAGAGGCTGCCGTCGGGTGGCTCCGGGGGCTGCCCGACCGCAGTGGGTGCCTGGTTGTGTTTGGGGCACTGAAGGCCACTGACTCCCACACGGCAAGATCGTGTTTACAGTCAGGGCTCCTGGGATCACCCCTAGATGCT